TACAGCGTAGGGATACTCACTTCCACATGGTATGTCCCTGCAGTCGACTATTGCTCAGATTTCACAGATGCTCCAGTTTTGTGAGCTTTTGAAGTCTTCAGTGCAGCTTTAGTGACATCTTGTGGTGGAAGTTGTGTAACTTTCTCTAAACTTGATGCGCATGTTTCTTGTAGCTGTCACCTTGTGGTGAGTAACAAAGAATGTCCAATAGATGGCAGTGTTCGTTATCTTGAACGTCAGAGTAACTCATAACACATACTCTAGGTTTAGGTTTCATCGGATATCAAGTGTGCCAGAAAAAAAAAAAAAAAAAGATTGTTTTTACTGTGGTTTTAAATGATTAGAGTAGTATTTGAAAATAGGTTACCCAATGTACACTTCTCTCTCCAGTGGTGGTTGTAATTTAAATGATACCCTGGGCGAAACCACCCCAAACATACTTTCTCCCCATCCCCCAAGAAATAAAGACACTATGTGGTTGACTTTATATATATATATATATATATATATATATATATATATATATATATAGAAAGAGAGAGAGAGAGAGAGAGAGAGAGAGATATTATATATGTTTGGGATGCTTATTGTGTCCTGTTGTTTGACACTTGATCTTTGATAAATGTGTTTGTATTTCTCAGATTGATCTAATGTCTCGTTTCCACTGTACAGTACAGTACGGTACGGTTCGGGTCGGTATGGGTCACCTTTATCAGGCTTGCGTTTCCACTACCAAAAGTACCCTTTTGGTGGGCGTGGTGTATGACAAAGTTTCAGTCGCATCATTCTCGCTGGAGAAAATGTCTACAATAAAGCTGTACGGGTCGTTCACATATCATATGAGAAGCACTTCGCACTAAACAGACGCTTTACACACATGAATACTTCTGTATAAATGTTTATTACTAACTTTTCTATGAACAGGAATTGACTATAACAGCAGATCAATGACAGCGCGAAATAGCCTACTGTAACGTCTGTAATTATGTTAAATAAATAAATGAACATATATGAATACATACAGACTCTTACAGTCTCCGATATGTTACCAACTACAGACAAACTACACAGAGCATACATTTAGTTTTTAATTAGGCTCAAAACAACACAAAATATAGCCTACAAACCTCTCATCTGTGTCTGTAATCTTCAGCAGCACAAGTAGTCACTCCATCATTAGTCCATATTAGTCCAAAAGGCGATGATAAAAAATAAAACACGGCAGTTTGTTGATGTTTGTTGAAGAAATAATGTGCTCCTTTTTTTCTGGTTTCTCATTTTTTTGCGCTGCACTCTTGCGTTTGTCAGTGACTGACAGGATCGGGTTTCCAAAGCACGTCAATAATCAAGCGCACGTTATTATCATCAGCTCAAGAAGTTTGTTATTTCAGATATAGACGCACGGCGAGCGCAAGCAAGAAAGCGAAACCGCTCGCACTTCAGACTGGCACAGGGTAGATTCTGCTCTACTCTATGGCTTTGTGGCTGTTCATTAACATGACAACAAGGTTTGTTTGAGCCCGGGTCGACCATGGCTCGTTATTATATGTATATATATATAATTCTGCTGTAATCTCTCTGTGTATTTCAAACATGGCGGGTATTTTGTTTTCATTCTGGCTTGTTGCGTATCGCTGTAAACCAATAGCGTTCAGCGTCTATTTTAGCTTTTGGTACCCTTTCTCTTGTTTGGTACCCGTTCGAAAGGGTGCCGAAAAAGTGGTACGTACGGTTCGGTTCGGTATGCCTTTTGACAGTGGAAACGGCCATAAAAGCGTACCAAACAGAACCGTACCGTACCACTCAGTGTAAACGGGCCATAATAGTGTGCTGGAGTAAAATGAATCTGAATAGCCTCAAGTGCTTCATGTGTCTTTTAATATTTTGCAGTGAAGAAACATTATGATCATGGTCCAGATAATGTTGTCTTAAACAGAAGATTTGGTTACTATATTATATTACCATAATCATGTTATATTAAATGCATCTTAGAATATTAAAATTATGCATGGTTAATTAGTAAATTCGATTCATGTTTACTTCTAAATCGCTTTCGCGTTGTAGATGGTGTCAAAGCAGCTTAAAGGTGCAGTAGGTGATTGTCTTCAGAAGCATTTTTTGTTGTGCTGGTTGAAACTCTCTTTACAGTCCTATAGGAATGATTACAGTAAATGATTGTAATGAAGTTTACGGCCCTTTGGCCGCCGGGAAGAAGGAGGCGGAGAACCGACGGAGCTTTAAAATGATTTATTGATAATAATGACGGCAGCTCCTCACGGAGACTGCCATTTAAAATCAAAACAAACGGACGGCAGCTCCTCGCGGAGACTGCCATCAAACTGAATGCAAAAGTAAAATAACATGCCTGGGCCCGGTCCTCTCTCGGCTTCCTCTGCCATCGGTCCTCCTTTTATGGTCCAGAGCTCCTTCCGTGGGATCCGAGGCAGGTGCGCACCGCACGTGTATCCACTCACGCGATGGCCTCACCCCGTTCCCACGGCTCTCGGCCACGCCCCCTCGCCACAATGATCTAAATGTTTTTATATGCATTTTTATATTCTGGCTAAAGCATAAAACTAAAAAATGTTCATCCAATTAAATAGAGTCGGACCGACATCTCCCATAATTCCGATAAGCAGGTTAGACTGTCTGTCAGCATATGTAGATTAGGACTCCTGCGCATCTGTTCACGCAGATCCGGCATTAGCGCGTGCCCGGCTGCATCACAAACGAATGCACGCTAGCGAGTTGCGGATGTAGTGGTTTCTTAGGTTTTTCTCTTCCTGCATCACACTCAGTCCGTAGGTTATGAATATTAGACGAGTATACTTTATTGTCGACAACAAAGGAGAATTTTCAGGAGACCCCCAGTAGCATCTCTGTCTGAAAAATTCTGTCTCACTCATGTTCTGGCCTGCTTAAATAGTCTTTTACAACTGTTTTTTTTTTCCCTTTGTTCTCCATATGTCACACAAGATCCCTCCTAGTTTAACCCCTGACCCCAAATTCTACCTCTGACATCTGTTTGCTGAGACACCTCAGGCTTTTTTACCACTCTCTTTTCATCCCTTTTTTTATGACCCTTAGTTGTTTCCTCAGGCCATTTCCCCTTTCTCACTCTACATAACACTTTAATTGTTTTAATGGAATGCAAGTCTACAAGCAGATTATACATATATAATTTGAATATATAGATTAACTTCACACTTTAAAGAGTATAAAATCCACTTCACGGGCTGCTCCTCAGTGCCGAGTCGGAGTCGGAGGCGCCGAAGGACAGACGAGCTCGGGCTGATTACTGTAAAGCCAGGCGCGAGTATAATTCGCCCTTAAAGCAGCCGCGCGGTTACGAGACGGACCGGAGGAAATCAAATGCTGAATTGAAACTTTTAAAAACCTGAATCAGTATTGGAGTTACTTTAGCACGCTGGAGGAAGGACGACACCATTGCTAAATGATTACTGTTAGACAGGTAATGTTCTGTTTTAAAACTTAGTCAGGCTAAGCTTATGTTAGATTGTGTTGTTATGCATGACTTAAATGCACAGACGTGTTGTTCAGCCACTGAAATGTCCCGGTGAAAGATTGATGCAATTATTTTCAGTTTCATAAGGGCCTTTTGACAGCATCTATAATGTAGATTTATATGTAGTTTAACAACAAAACATCAGTAAATAGCGCTATTCAGCCTAACTGCTTTACTGAGCTGAAGTTGCTTTTATATTCACATTGGGTCATTGTTCAAAAGGCTTCTGGAACATTCTCTTGCTGACTGATACGCAAGTGCATCGTCACTTTAATGGGCGGGACTTAGAGAAGGAAGAGAAGCAGGTGTGCAGAGCAGACAAAGAGCCCGAACTGAAATCACTGCAAAGTTAAAGTTATCTGCTTTTCTGCTCACATTGCATGCAGATTAACGCAACCGATGATGTATATAGTTGTGCGTGCACAGAAAGTAAGTGTATTTGGTTTGGTTTATGTAAATGTCTCGTTATTTTAGATCGCGGGTGAAATGCGCCATAGCGCCATAACGCAATAGCGCCTAATGGCCGATTTTGAAGTTGTAACTGATAATAGTTGATAATTAAGCTTGTTTTTATATGCAGTATACCTAATGCACGTAATGTTAACACTTTACATGTACAAATGTAATCGTTTCGTCGAGTTATTACCACTTATACATGTTGATTTATTATTTCATTGGAAAATGTGCCTCAGCCACGTTTAGTGATCTATTGGCGCCCTCTTGCGGTCAGTTAGGGAACAACTGCTCTAAATGTTTCCATTCATATGGTGCGGTTACTGCAATTTGTATTCATGTTTTATAATTATAAGTATTGTTATTTGATGTTCTAATTGTTATTTATATAATTACTTATGTGAGATTATTTTTGTATTGTTTCAGAAAACCACAACTTATCATCAGTAAATGTTCGACTGAGAAATGGAGTCTGAGTGAATTTCTTATAGATGACAGTAAACAGTTCTGACCGACTGTCTGCAGGGATTCAGATACACCCGAATCAGTGTTAAATTAAAACCTCAGTTACAGTCATTTTGACAGCCTTCCTATACTGTTTACCATGCTACTCTGAATATTCGCTCTGAAATAGCATGTAAGTGTGGCTAAGTAATAAATGTAGTTCCTGCATGGGGCTGGCACTAACTAACTGGTGAATGACATGAACTAGTGGGTTGTCTGTCTGCTGTTGTGACGCCGTGCACTCGCGATTTCAGGGGGTGTGGCTTTGAATCACAGTCCCTCCCCGCCGTCCAAAGATAATATGCTAAGCGGTTAGCATTTTGGCAGATCACCTACTGCACCTTTAACATAGAAAATTATAGTAAATTGAAACTGTGTCAGTCCAGTTTTCAGAGTTGAAGTTCAGTTTAGGTCAGTTCAGTGTGATTTAATTTTCACTACTGAAAGTCCAAACACTGAACAGCAAATCAAGTCCCAAACCAAGCAAGCTAGTGGCGACAAACACCCTTTTTTTTTCCAAGACCTTAAGTAGGTTTACTATTGCTAAGAATTCCTTGCACAACTTAATCACCTACTCCTCTAACATTTGAATACTACCGAGTGGTAAGATCCTCAGAGGAAAATAGCTGCAGAAGAATGGAAAGACAGACTCAGTGAGGGTGGGTGTGAATGTGTGTAGATGTGTGTTTGTTACAGGATCAGAGAAAGACACTGTTCCACTGTCACAGTCCAGATCAACTCTCACACACTCAAGATCCTTCTGAACCTGAACGCCAGGCAGCTGAAACGGTCCACACTGCACGCCCCAGAAATCTGTGTTGAAGAAAACTCGTCCCTTCCTTTGTTTTGATGCTGTAGTTACTCCAAGACTCCAGCCTGGGCTCTCGTTGACCTCCACATCCCAGTAGTGTGTTCCTGAGGTAAACCCCTCTGAACCCAGAACACAGCAATAACTGTCAAATCTTTCAGGATTATGAGGGCGCAGTTCTATAATTATATCTCTTGCCATACTGGTCAGATCATCAGAGAGGACGAGACTTGAATTTGCAGTGTTTGGATCCAGAATCACAGGAGCTGAAGAGACACAATCAACAGCTGCTTTTATTCTGATGTTCATAAAATGATCAAGAGTGAACAAACACAGATTAACACATGTGATACTGACCTCTGAACTGTGCATGTTTAAGTGCAGGGGTGTTCAATCCTGGTCTTTGTGACCCCCAAATCTGCACATTTAGCATGCTACTCTTGTTTAAGTAGGCCTGGATTGGCTAATCGGGAGGACCGGGAGAATTCCCGGTGGGCCGGTCCGTTTTTTGGCCGCGAGGGCCGGTGTCCCTAACGTTAGCTCCAGAATCGAATGCTCTCAGCAGTCACACTTTTTAAATTAATGTATTTATTTACTTGACCACAGTCTTCTTATTAATTTTTACCACAGCTCTGCTCTTTTTATCTATTCTCGCAGCCTCGTGAGCAAGATGCAGCCTGCAGGTTAATGATCATGTAAGGCAGATGAGTCACCTTTCACTGTACAGCTGTTGTGGTTGAGTGGTTAGCACGTTAGTTAACGATGCCACCGACCCGGGTTTGATCCTCATCGGAGTAATTATTTATTTTTTTTCATTTTTATTGTTAAGATATATAATACTGTTAGGGTTGTTGAACATTTGAAGTTGTAAAGCAGCTGTTTTCTCAAAAAAGACGTGATAGTGTCATTAGAAAATGAATTGGAAATGACCTTATTTTAATATAGTCAGCCGTGAACTGAGGTGGGCCGGTCTGAGGCTTGAAACTCCAGGGCTGAAAAGAAGTCCCACTCCGGCCCTGTGTTTAAGTAATGCACTATATAAATGTATAATGGCCTCTGAAGCAGTACAAGAAATGTACAAAATATGCAGAGAGGGGGCTGCCAGGGCCAGAATTGAGAACCTCTGTTTAAGAGTAGAGATTTTGTATAGACTCACTATAGTAGACAATGTCCTGCATCTTCTTCCAGACTCTGAACGGCAGGTTCCCCAAGTAGCAAGACACATTAATCAAAGCTCCAGAAGGCGTCTGTGGATCCGGCTGTGAGATCTGGACTCTGGAAGAACATTCAGGAGTCAGAACTGCAGGATTCAGAAGCAGAGAGAGCAGAGACACCAGCAGATCACTCACCTTTCCATCGAGACTGGAAACTCCTGCAGAACAAACACACAACTGATCATCAAGAGCTCAATCCATCATCAATCAATCAATCACTGATCTGAAATCAGACCTTTAGAAAGCAGACGTCATTGGCTTTCAGCATCTCCTCCGAGTCTTTGATTGTGTGTGAAAGAGCTGCGATGTGTGTGTTCATCTCCTCCAGCTTCTCCTTCATCATCTGCTTCTTCTGCTCCTCTTCCTCCCTCAGTGCAGTGATTGTAGCTTCTTCTTCATCTCGGAGAAACTGATGAAGCCTCTCAAACTCATGTTTAATCTGACGCTCTGTGTGATCAGCTTGAGTCTAAAAGCAAACTTAACTTAATTTTGATGTATTTCTCAAAACAAGAATTTGTAGATACAGTTGAAACCAGAAGTCTACATACACTCTAAAAAAAGGAATATAACAATTAAAAACAAATGTCTGATGGTAAATCATACTAATTGTTTACTATTTTAGGTCCAGGATGATTACCTAAATCATTTACATTTGCTGAATACCAGAATAATGAGAGAAAAAACATTTTTTGAAAATGTTTTATTAATTTCTAGACAGTCAAAAGTTTATATAAATTTCCTTGGTATTTTTTTTTAGCTTTGCTTTTAAACTGTATAACTTTGGTCAAATGTTTTAAGTATCCTTCCACAAGCTTCTCACAATAGTTTGCTGGATTTTTGGCCCATTCCTCCTGACAGAATCGGTGTAACTGAGTCAGATTTGTTGGCTGTCTTGCTCACACAAGCTTTTCCAACTTTGCTTTTCTATAGGATTGAGATCGGGGCTTTGTGATGGCCACTCCAAAACATTCACTCTGTTGTCCTAATTTGGCAGTATGCTTAGGGTAATGGTCTGTGTGGAAGACCCATTTGTGGCCAAGTATAAATGTCCTGGCTGATGTCTTGAGATGTTGCTTCAGTATTTCTACATAATGTTCTTTCTTCATGACGCCATCTATGTGGAGAAGTGGACCAGTCCCTCCTGCAGCAAAACAGCCCCACAACATGATGCTGCCGCCCTCATACTTCACAGTTGGGATGGTGTTTCTAGGCTTGTAGGCTTTCCCCTCTGTCCTCCAAATGTAACACTGGTCATTATGGCCAAACAGTTCAATCTTAGTTCCATCAGACCACAGGACATGTCTCCAAAAATTTGTCTTTTTCCCAGTGTAATTTAGCAAATTGTTATCTGGCTTTTTTGTTTTTCTGGCTTGTTGATTTTCCCATGTTGTCACACAAGTAAGCAGTGTGTTAAATATTATTCTACAGTTGTGCCTCCAATTAACTCAAATGTTGTCAATTAGCCAATGAGAAACTTCCAAAACCTTGACACCATCATCTGAGACCTTTTTCAGAGGCAGAATAATCTTATTGTATGTAAGCTTGACTTTAAAAAAAACTCATAACAATTTCTCAAAATATCTCTCTCATTATTCTGTTATTAAGCAGAACAAAAACAAAATTGATAATCCTAACTGTGGCGAGGGGGCGTGGCCGAGAGCCGTGGGAACGGAGTGAGGCCACCGCGTAAGTGGATACACCTGCGGTGCGCACCTGCCTCGGATCCCACGGAAGGAGCTCTGGACAATAAAAGGAGGAACGATGGCAGAGGAAGCCGAGAGAGGACCGGGCCCGGGTATTTTACGGAGACTGCCGTCCGTTTGTTTTGGTTTAGACGGCAGCCTCCGTGAGGAGCTGCCGTCACTGTTATTAATAAATCAGTTAAAAACTGCGTCGGTTCTCCGCCTCCTTCTTCCCGGCGGCCAAAGGGCCGTGAACTTCTTTACAGTGGTGCCGAAGCCCGGGAGAAGGAGGGACGCATTGTCCAGATGCCCTCACAACTGAGAGAGGGGGCGAGTGTTTGGGAGTCAACCAGAGTGGGGGAGAAACCCGTTCGTCTGCCAAGAGTGCCGGGGCGGCCTGAGGCTGTCGAGGAAAGGATCTGCCTGCTGCCGTCTCCCAGCATGGGGAGGAGCAGGGGACGCGGGGCTCACCACCGGAAGGGAAAGTGCTGAAAGGAGCCATCCCACAGAACCCGGGGGAGTCGCCGCGATCCACCATGATGCCGTAGCCTGCATCCGTCCACCGAAGCGGGAGCGGAGCAGGAGACCAGAGATGCCGCCAGCCAGCCAGGAGAACCGCCGCCGGACACCAGAAGACGGGCGGGTGGATAGATTGCTATCCACAGGGCTCCCAGCACGTCGTCACAGCTCTCAGCTGGTGGAGGACCGAGTGGCAGCGTGTCTGGAGAACCAAACCTCAATTTTTTATTTACTTTTTTTCTTTTTCCTCTCTCGGTCTACTCTGTTTTTCCTCCTTTTTTTTTTTCCATCTCCTTTTCTCTCGGCCCGTCTCATATAGGTCGCGCGGGTGCTGTGGCGCCCACGGCCTGTGATGGGAGATGGGGGTATGTGGCGAGGGGGCGTGGTCGAGAGCCGTGGGAACGGAGTGAGGCCACCGCATGAGTGGATACACCTGCGGTGCACACCTGCCTCGGATCCCACGGAAGGAGCTCTGGACAATAAAAGGAGGAACGATGGCAGAGAAAGCCGAGAGAGGACCGGGCCCAGGCATTTTACTTTTGCTTTCAGTTTGACGGAGACTGCCGTCCGTTTGTTTTGGTTTAGACGGCAGCCTCCGTGAGGAGCTGCGGTCACTGTTATTAATAAATCAGTTAAAAACTGCGTCGGTTCTCCGCCTCCTTTTTTCCAGCGGCCAAAGGGCCGTGAACTTCATTACACTAACTTACCTAAAGGAGAAAAAGTTCAGTCACTTTAACATCTGACTTTTTAAAAAATGGTTATGTGCCTTTTTAAACAGCGTATGCAAACTTCTGGTTTCAACTGTATGTGGCTAAAAAAAGCAAAAACTCAAAATAAGAAAAGCATTTTTGCAGCGTAATCCTTTTAGTTTCTGAAATAAAACAATAATAAATGGCCAAGTGCCAAACTGAGGCCCCTTTTACACTAATAAACGATCCCTACACCCTACACCACTAAATCTGCACATCATTTTACATTTACATTTAGTCATTTAGCAGACGCTTTTATCCAAAAGCAGACGCTTTTATTGACAAATGAGGACAAGGAAGCAATTTACACAACTAAGAGCAACAATGAATAAGTGCTATAGGCAAGTTTCAGGTCTGTAAAGTCTAAGAAGGAAAGTATTAGTAGTATTAGTATTTTTTTTTTTTTTGGTACAGTTAGTGTGATATTCAGAGAGGCAATTGCAGATTAGGAAGTGAAGTGGAGACTAAATAGTTGAGTTTTCAGTCATTTCTTGAAAATAGCGAGTGACTCTGCTGTTCTGATGCAGTTAGGGAGTTCATTCCACCAACTGGGCAGATTCACATGATCACACACACACACGTACACACAAAAACACTGGCATGCACTACAGTATGCTTTGAGCACATCTACCCATATGTATGAGAGCTGTGCACGTCAGACTGTTCATCGAGGATCTTCCGCTGGATCTAATCTCACTATATTTGTTAAACGTGATATTTAATTCATTTAATTTATGAAAGGAGACAGTTCTGTTATAGACTCCGTTTTGTTATAAATATACAGTCAAGATGACGCTCATATAAGTATGTAGCTACACAAAGCCTCAACATTTTTGATGTTGGTTAAGTTATTATCAAAATGAAAATAGACAGTTCCCTATATCGTGTTTTCATTTTATTTTTAAGATGAGTGAAGCAGTGTAGCCAGGATGATGTGAATGAGCTTATACAGTACACTGTTCCATTTGAGGATTTACCCTACATGTCCTCGGGAGTTTGTTTTCCATATAAAACTTGCGAAGTCTGAGCTTACAAGCAGAGAATGCAGAACTGAACTGTGTGTAGGCTACTTAATATTGAGGAAAACCCCCAATCAGACAGGCATGTCCGCAACCCTGCCTCCGTTTTCAGATGTCTTCGTTTTCCCCCATCCACACTGACACGGAGCAGCAGCATTTTTAAAACTAAAACGGCCTCTTCAGCGTTTCCAAAAAGCTTTGAAAACTCTGGCGTAGTGCGGATGGATGGCGTAACCGTAGCAAAACGTATGCATTTTAAAACAAAAATGTAGTAGTGTAAACGGGGCCTGAGAAAAAGATGCTGATCACCACAGTGGTGACTTCAAAGTAAACATTCAGTGAAACATCAACTTCCTCCGGGTGCTCCAGTTTCCCCCACAGTCCAAAGACATGCGGTACAGGTGAATTGGGTAGGCTAAATTGTCCGTAGTGTATGAGTGTGTGAATGTGTTTGTGCATTATTCCCAGAGATGGGTTACGTCTGGAAGTGCATCTGCTGCGTAAAAACTTGCTGGATAAGTTGGCGGTTCATTCCGCTGTGGCGACCCCGGTTAATAAAGGGACTAAGCCGACAAGAAAATGAAATGAATGAAACATCAACATCATCAAGAGTTTTCTCACCTTGATGTGTTGAAGCGTTTCCTCCAACTGTCCTTTCATTTTTTCCCTGCGTTTAAGTTTCCACTTTAAGGACGTCACTGCCGCATTGAACTCCTCCTAAACAATATATAAAAACACTCTTAAAAGTTATTATTTAGAAAGAAATTTTAAACACATGGATGAGATATCTGTTTGTCCTTTACATAAAGAAACAGTCTCACCTTACACATTGGAATGGCTTCATCGATGGGCTTGAATTTGTGATTCTCATGTTGCTGTAAAGTGACACACATCACACACAAAGGCTGTTTGTCCTCCAGACAGAAGAGTTTGAGTTTCTCACCGTGTAAACTGCAGATCTCCTCAGATACCGATGAACATCTCTCGTTTTTCTCCTTCAGGAACAACTCACACAAGTTTCTTAACACAAGATTAATTGGAGGATCATCTCTGGAGGATTTTCTCCGGCAAACAGGACACTCTTCAGTTTCCGTGGTACTCCAGTACTGCTGAAGACACTTTTTACAGAAACTGTGACTGCACGACAGAAAAACTGGATCCTTGAAGATTTCACAGCACACGGGACACGAAAAATCATCAGAAAGCGAAGCCATTTTCCCAGTTTGAGCTCCAGTATGTTTGCTTTTAACAATGGGAAACGCTGAAACAGGATGGGCTGTCGCCTGTTCGCAAGTCAACAGTTCAGAAAATCCTTCCTGTAAGAGTTTATCTTTGTTCTTCTCAGAGTTGTGGTTCCTGTTTATTTTATTTATTGAGAAATTGAGGATATGACAAACATCATAAGACAAATCACAAGCAGTGATGTTGAAATAAGTTTCTGATTATTATAAAAAGAAAAGAGTGTATCTGTATTTCCTCAAGTTCATTTGATCAACAGAATGCCTTAAAATACTGTTGTAATGGAGTTTTTAGGTGAATTTGAAGTATTCCCCTGCTGAAAAATCCAGCTTAAACCAGCCTAGGCTGGTTGGCTGGTTTTAGCTGGTCGACCAGGCTGGTTTTAGAGGGGTTTTGGCCACTTCCAGGCTGGTTTCCAGCCATTTCCAGCCTGGTCTTAGCTGGTCAGGCTGGAAAATGACCAGCCAAATCCAGCTAAAACCAGCTCGACCAGCCTGGTTTAAGCTGGATATAGCTGGTTTTGGCTGGACTCCCAGCTTAGCTAGGCTGGTCAAGCTGGTTTTAGCTGGTCATCTCCCAGCCTGACCAGCTAAGACCAGGCTGGAAATGGCTGGAAACCAGCCTGGAAGAGGCCAAAACCGCTCTAAAACCAGCCTGGTTGACCAGCTAAAACCAGCCAACCAGCTTAGGCTGGTTTAAGCTGGATTTTTTAGCAGGGTCATCAAGTATAGGTAAGGACACAGTGACTGGAAACCACATTTAAAGTATTTTAATGTCCATCACTTAAATAGTTACATGGCAGTAGGTATATTGTGTGTGTAATCTTAACAAAGAAAAGACAAAATACGCAGTAAGAACTGCAATATATAAAACTGAGCACCATCCATAAACTTTTAAACCAATACAAGCAAGAATAATGCTCACTATCAACAAGCTTTAAACTTAATTAGTTGGGAATATAACACTAAACATAGGTATAACAAGGCGATATACACTAACATTCACATTTAAAGCAATTATATTTACATGAACGACCGCTAATGCTCTGTACGAGCTAGCGCGTGAATCAATAATCTCAACGCCATCACATATTGATGAAACAGAGGTAACAATTATGAAAATGGCAGTTACTTTTAGTCAGTGACGCACACAAATATTACTGGCATTAGGCGGAAAGCAAAGCATGAGAGATTTTTCTCTCTAACAGAACAAAACAAAACTTTAGTCAATATACCTCAGACCTGTGCTGCGTTTTGATTGGCTGTCGGTTGTAATGGATGTAAATCTGTGATACAGTCAACTACTATTGATTTTAAATTGACTAAAGGAACTCTAATTCTTTCACTTTTCATTCTATATCACGTCAGGAAAAAAAGAGTAGCATTTGCAAGACAACAGTGCCTCAGAGTGGTCACTTCTTAAAATGCACAACAAAAAAAATCCCATACTAGCTTTATATGAAACACTGCTTAACAGCATTTAACTTATAAGTAAAGCACATAGTAAATAAACATTAGGATATGAGTTCTTTCCAGCAAATATGTCAATCAACACCCTTTGTAAGGAAGTGTTGCATTGTTTAAGTCTAATGAATTCTGCTCATACATATGTACTGGACATTTTGAGGGAATAATATGAGAATATTTACAAATAACTTGACAGCACGGCTGGACTGGGACACACACACACACACACACACAACACAAACTGATCACAGATTAATCCTTCAGTTTGATTTGTGACGAAATTCTCTCCATGTCGTTTTGTCACTTATCATCATATTTAATATATACACTACTGTGCAAAAAAATAGACCATCATTGTTGCTTGAGTGCAGAACTGTACATATTTCCATATTAATTTTAACTCTCAGAATCAGAAAGAGCTTTATTGTCAGGTATGTTCGCACATACAAGGAATTTGTTTTTGTGACAGCTTCTACAGTGCAACAGAATTACAGAGACAGGACAATAAACAGATATTAAATATATAAAAAAGCAGTAAGAAGTGAACGCACAATATACAAATAGACAAGTGAATGTAGAACTATATTACTATATACAATGTTATATGTGCAGCTGTTATGTGCAAATTGGCTTGTAAAGTGTTGTTCAATAAGTGTATATGTGCTGTATATGTGAATAAAAGTGTATGGCAAGTAGTAATGTTTGTTCCACAATTATTATTATCAAGTGTTCATGAGATGGATTGCCTGAGGGAAGAAACTGTTTCTGTGTTGGGCTGTTCTGGTGCACAGTGCTCCGTAGCATCGACCAGAAGGTAAGAGTTCAAAGAGGCAGTGTGCTGGGTGTGAGGGGTCCAGAGTGATTTTGGCAGCCCTTCTGCTCGCTCTGGATAAGTACAGTTCTTGGATAGTAGGGAGATTTGTACCGATGATTTGCTTAGCAGTCCGAACTATTCGAGGTAGTCTTCGGAGGTCGGATTTAGTAGCTGAGCTAAACCAGACAGTTATTGATTTGCAGATGACTGATGACTTATTGATGTGAAGATGACTCCAGCATATTGTATATTTCTACCTTAATAGGGTATATGCTGAAGTATGCTAAAGGGTTTTTAGAGGCCATGGTCTTTAGCTTCCTTGTAAAAGCAACCAACTCTCATGCAGAGAGTCTCGGGTTCGATCCCAGCTCTGATCGGGTTGGGTGGTGTAGGACCAGTGTGGTTACATTTAAAACTGACATTTTCCCTTTTGCATTTTCTCCACCGTCATACTGACTCTGTTCTTTCTCAACAACAGCCAAAAATAATCAGTGATCAGTGAAGGAAGAGAAACTTTATCAAGGGGAATTTTTGAGAAGTTCATAATCGTTCTGCAACTCAACTCATTTTGGCAACATTCAGAAGTTTAGGTAACACTTTATTTTAATCGTGCTAGTTATTGCTATTAGCAAACTATTAACTAAGACTTAATACACTCGATAAACTACTAATTAGCTGCTTATTGATAGTCAGTAAGGTAGTAGTTGGGTTTAGATAATGTGTAGGATTAGGAATGTAGAGTAAGATCTAACTTTACACAGTTATTATCGTAATAAGTTAATAAGTAAACAGTTAATATCTTAATAAATAGCCTGTAGTAAATTGTGTGAATTGTTCACCTTTACTTGTATAGCGCTTTTACAATGTAGATTGTGTCAAAGCAGCTTCACATAGAAGATCATAGTAAACTGGAACAGGGTAGTTCAGTTTTCAGAGTTTAAGTTCAGTTCAGTTTAGCTCAGTTTAGTGTGGTTTAATAATCACTACTGAGAGTCCAAACACTGAAGAGCAAATCCATCGATGCGCAGCTCTACAGATCCCGAACCATGCAAGCCAGTGGCGACAGCAGCGAGGAAAAAACTTCACCAATTGGCGAAAGTGAAGAATTAAAAACCTCAATAGAAACCAGGCTCAGTGGGCACGGCCATTTCTCCACTGGCCAAACGTCTTGTGCAGAGCGGCAGTCAAGGCACCAGAGACAAGGAGCTGGACCTCAGCGAAGACTCGTCTGTCCCTGGAGCGTCACAGGAATCAGTATCATGCTCTCCACTCCCCCATGACCACTACATTAGCTGCTCAGGATACAGCCTGGTCCAGGAACCTTGGGATCATCTTGTCGCTGGTCTTGGATCGAATCAGTGGCGCTGCATAGTCTGAGGGCCTCGGGATGAGTATGCCCAGGTGAAAATAGAGAATAAAGAGAATAATTAGCGTAGCTGCTGTTCAAAGTGTAACTAAACAAGATGCGGAAACCTGCGTGGGGCACATTCATGTATCATTCCTCTAAGTGATGCACTGAGTGTATGCTTTACTAAAAAGATAGGTCTTTAATCTAGTTTTGAATTGGGAAAGTGTGTCTGTGCCTCGGACATTATCAGGAAGGCCATTCCAGAGAATTCCAGAGAGAAGGCTCGACCTCCTTTACTCGACTTTGCTATTCTAGGCACTACCAGAAGCCCTGAGTTTTGAGATCTTAAAGAGCGAGTTGGATTGTAGCGAGACAGAAGGTTGGTTAGATAAACAGGAGCTAGATTATTTAGCGCTTTATAGGTGAGAAGTAATATTTTAAAATCAATACAAAACTTAACAGGCAGCCAGTGTAAGGAGGATAAAATTGGGGTGATATGATCATATTTTCTAGACCTGGTCAGAACTCTGGCAGCTGCATTTTGTACTAGCTGAAGTTTATTAATAGAGGATGCTGGGCAGAAATGTGTTTCCAAGTGATTTCAAGGTTTATTAGCAATTTTATTAGTCTTTTTCTGTACACATGCTCATTTTAATAATACAAAATTACTAACACAAAAAAAAAAAACTAAATGTTTCAGAATTGATTTGTTTTAGTTGTTCCCTCTACATGACATCTTTGAAACGCCAGAAATGTTGTATACGTTTTTAAAAAAACATGTTATTATTATCTCCATGCAAACTTTTTAATCTACGTGTTAAGTGTGACGTAACGCGAAGCGGCTTCCCGGTCCAAGAGCTCTATTCAAATGTATGGGGAGACTCATGAAGTGGTAATTATAAACGTTTACAAAGCAACTTAATACTTTCGAAAATCATGATCGCAATATATATGTCCATACCTAATATCCGACGGCCAGAAAGTGATTCATTTTTGTAAAAATTGTTAAAACTTTGGTATTTGTGATGCAGCAAGCCCAGAGATTGTTGTGTACAATATAAATGTATATACAATTAACTTTAATGTGTGATATGAATTAAAAGTAATCATAAACAAATAATATCTTAACTCAAATGAGTGGCGGCTTGGATCTGGAAACAGTATTACATACGTCACCAACACGTCATCACTTAACAAGCGGATACAAAATAAACTTTAAAGTGCGCATGAATCTAAAGCTGCAACTGTTTTTTTATTCCCGTATTGTGATGCAGCTCCTGGAGAAATTGAATATTAAATGAGAAAACAGTGGGGCCATGGCTTACTTTTCCTCTGCGAGCTGATTGGACGTAGTAAAGTAGGCATTTCATTCAGAAAGATTGGGAAAATAGGATGGGGAGAATTATTACAACTTAACCGACTCCTCCTCTTTACCCTCTCTGTTTGTGGTCAAAACTGACAGCTGGAGGGGCGTGGTTAGGTTAGCCACCACCAATACCTCGGACAGATGTATTCTGAGAATTTAAGTAAAAACAAACAGGAAGTGTATTTTCAGATATTAATTTTAGATTACCGGAGCAAACTTTTATTTCTTAATGACTTTGTTAACCACAAAACTAGCAATGTGAGCTAACAAAATCAATATTAGTTTGGATTTCTTGTGGACTTTAAATCTTTCAAAGTACACTCTGCTGTTTCCAGCTGGCCAGGTTTTCATGTGTGTAAATGTAGTGTTGCTTTGTGAATTTGAAGAAATCCTGACGCTACAGTTTGACCTGCTGTACAACATACCTGAAACTGATCCACCCTCCTAAAACTCACACCAGGAAGAGACTTCCATTCACTGTTTTCTGTCACACTGATGCTTTTATCTGGAAATAATCACATCTATACAATAACCATAACTATAGAAAACTGTAACTATAGAATAGGATTTTGAGCAATTGAGAACATATTTTTGTCACTCATTTTAATCAGCAAAACCAATGTTTAAATCTCTGAAGCTCAAGCAAAAGGTGAAAATGGATCCGGTGGCTGTTGGAGATCCCGCTTGCGCTTTACACAGCGAGAAACTCCAACTCTTCTGTCTGGAGGACAAACAGCTTGCGTGTTTGGTGTGCAGAGACTCAGAGAAGCACGTCAGTCACACATTCAGACCCATCGCTGAAGCCGTTTCATCATACAAGGTAAGAGAAATGTCTTTAGTTTCATATGCAATGAACAATTCAGCATTCACTGTTTTTGATCAATTCCAGGAGGAGCTCAAAACAACACTGAAGTCCTTACAGTTTAAACTCACACAAGAGTTAAAGACGAGAGGAGAGCTGGAGAAAACAGTTCAACACATCAAGGTAAGGACTGGTATCTCAACACTGAGTTATCTCACATAATTGTATGCAGAAACCATCAAATACAGTTTCATCACAGCTTTAAGATGATTAATGCAGCCTTGGGGTTACTGCAAAATGATATTACCCTCCCTTTTGATTTAACTTGAACACTTAGTTGCTTCATATTGCAATACGGTATAATTGCGCAATAGCAATGCTCTCCCATGTATCTAGCTATTCTAACTGCCCTTTTTTTCCGTTTATTGGTATGAGATTGCAGAAGGATTGATTATGGTTTGACTATAAATGAAATTCCCACATAATACCGATGAACTTTTTAGCCATTTAGCAGAGCTACGGTTTGAGCCACTGTAGTTAAATACCATCCTTACAGTGTTTTAGCTCTGAACTGCGTTTATTGCTTTACATTCTTTTTAAAAGTACAGCATTTTGCTGATCCTCCTGCAAAACATAACTAGTTATTCCCAATTCGCCTTAGATAACCTTTAGACTGAGCCGCACAATAAGAGATTTTAGATATTCGTTTTTCTTTCTAAGTTATGATGTCACAAACTTAACAAGGTTAACCTGACATGAGTTCAAAGGCTGTATCTTGGCCAAACTTTAAACAATCAAAATGAAAATTAACAAGGAGTTCCCTGGGTCTTCTGGACCAACTGTAAGCCTTCGCTGCTTGGACCTTAATAGCCCCTTGCAGTGATTTATATATGTGATTATCACACACACACACACACACACACACACATATATATATATATATATATATATATATATATATATATATCAGTATCAATATGTTTAAATTCAGTAATTTAATTTTAATGGCATGGAAATAAGATATTTGAATACGTGGCTACATTTACATTGTTAATTAGCAGAAGCTTTTGTCCAAAGCAACTTACAATTGAGGAGGTATAATGCTGCATTTACACCAGACGCAGAACGCGCGTCAAGCACGAGTGATTTACATGTTAAGTCAATGCAAACGCGTTGCATTGCAAATGGCACGTTTTGCGCGTTTGACGCGAATCGCTCGAGTTCGAAAATCTGAACTTCAGCGGACATTCGCGCTGCGTTAACCAATCAGGAGCTTGCTCTTGTGGGGGCGTGATTGTGACGTATCGCCTGTTGTCGGTGTCCCAGGGGAAATCCTCCAACCGACACCGACAAGCACCGCTGAAAGCCTCCGTCATCCATGTTCAGTTTCTGGAGGAGTTTTTGAGCTTAAAGAGCTGGATGCACCTCTGAAAGGATGTCGTGGACTCAGACACGGCCTTAAAAGTATCAACGCTATTTTCAGCCTTCATAAAGCACATAAACACTGTTATTTTCTTAATAAAATCCATGTTAGCCATTTAGCTACGAAGCTACAGTCACCGTGCAGACAGAAGCCCTGCCCATCACGCGAATCCGCATCTGTTCTGAAGTGAATTTGACTCGCGAATGAAGCGGATTTGACACGCGAATGAAGCGGATTTGACGCGCGAATGAAGCGGATTTGACGCGCGAATGAAGCGGGGTTTGACGCGCAAATGAAGCGGGGTTTGACGCGCGAATGAAGCGGGGTTTGACACGCGAATGAAGCGGATTTGACACGCGAATGAAGCGGATTTGACGCGCGAATGAAGCGGATTTGACGCGCGAATGAAGCGGATTTGACGCGCGAATGAAGCGGGGTTTGACGCGCGAATGAAGCGGGGTTTGGCGCGCGAATGAAGCGGGGTTTGGCGCGCGAATGAAGCGGGGTTTGGCGCGCGAATGAAGCGGGGTTGTTCACTCGGCTATACGCGCGAATATTGCGATTTATCCGCGCGTTCCACGTCTGGTGTGAACACAGCATATAACAACAACTAAAAGGGCTAATTATAGAAAAGAACTGCTAGAATGTTTTTTTTTAGAGAGTAGAGTGTTTCTACAGGTGGTTTGTCAAGCCCACTCACCTGTGAGAGGCACTTTCATTCATTCATTCACTTTCTTTTCGGCTCAGTCCTTTTGTTTTATCTGGCGTTGCCACAGTGGAATTAACCGCCAACTTATCCAGCATATGTTTTACGCAGCACATGCCCTTCTAGCTGCAACTCATCCCTGGGAAACACTCAACGCACACACATACACTGGATAATTTAGCCTTCCCATTCACCTATACTTTGGACTAAACTGGAGCAATTTGTTGAATTTAGCTACGTTGCATCTACATGCCAACTAATTCTTATTAGATTTTAAGTAGACTGGTTGCGGTTATTGTTAGTTAACATATACTTGCAAAGTTTTTTGTAGTCAGTTAAAGGTCTGTTGAAGGAGCAGTATCAGCAGATATTAAGCAGACGTTCTACTAATACTGAAATGGACCATCAAAATAAAGTGGGATCGAATTTTTAAGTTAAGTTCAGATTAGTGTAATGCAAATGAAACTGACGAAGATGGACTTGGTTTTTGAACTATTGAATATTTCGATTTGCGGAGACTTAAGTTTGGAGTTTTCTTCATCGGTATGGAAAATATCTGATGATTGAAGTGACTCTGTGATTTGCTTTCAGTCTCAAGCTGATCACACACTGCATCAGATTCAACACGAGTTCAAGAAACTTCATCAGTTTCTTCGAGATGAAGAAGAAGCTACAATCACTGCACTGAGGGAGGAAGAGGAGCAGAAGAAGCAGAAGATGAAGGAGAAGCTGGAGGAGATGAACACACACATCTCAGCTCTTTCACAGACGATCAAAAACACGGAGGAGATGCTGAAAGCCAATGACGTCTGCTTTCTAAAGGTCTGATTTCAGATCAGTGATTGATTGATTGATGGTGGATTGAGCTCTTGATGATCAGTTGTGTGTTTGTTCTGCAGGAGTTTCCAGTCTCGATGGAAAGGTGAGTGATCTGCTGGTGTCTCTGCTCTCTCTGCTTCTGAATCCTGCAGTTCTGACTCCTGAATGTTCTTCCAGAGTCCAGATCTCACAGCCGGATCCACAGACGCCTTCTGGAGCTTTGATTCATGTGTCTCGCTACTTGGGGAACCTGCCGTTCAGAGTCTGGAAGAAGATGCAGGACATCGTCCACTACAGTGAGTCTCTACAACATCACTTCTCTAAGACATAATGAAAGATGGGGGAATATTTACAGGTAACAAGAAAGACATGAGAATGTTGATTGTGTCTTTTCAGCTCCTGTGATTCTGGACCCAAACACTGCAAATCCACATCTCGTCCTGTCTGATGACCTGACCAGTCTTAGAGACAGCTTTTTAAACAGTAAACCACTTCCCGACAATCCAGAGAGATTTGACTATTACTCCTGTGTTCTGGGTTCAGAGGGTTTAAACTCAGGAAAACACCGCTGGGATGTGGAGGTTAAAAAGTGTTCAATCTGGAGTCTTGGATTAACTACTGCATCAAACCAGAGGAAGGGACGTGATTTCTTTAACACTGGGGTTTGGTGTGTGAGCTTTGGATTGTATGAACCATCTGGTTTCATCGTTAAACAGAGTCTTGAGCGTGTGAGAGTTGATCTGGACTGTGACAGAGGAACAGTGTCTTTCTCTGATCCTGTAACAAACACACATCTACACACATTCACAACCACCCTCACCGAGTCTGTCTTTCCGTTCTTCTGTAGTATTTATCAACTCAGGATCTTACCATTTAGAAGTTAGCATTAGAGATCGGTATAGTGTACAGCTCTACACACCATCAGCTTTTGTCTTTACCCAAGTTGGCACACACAGGGCTGGATCTGGGTTGATTAATAGCAATGCAGAACTGTTCTACATGGAAAAAAATAAATGCTTATCAAACACACTTTTAAAACCTAAATCACGAATAATTCAAGATAATTAAAAGAACAAGTCAGAAACAGATAAGCATTCTGTAAATAAGCTTTTATTTATCCTCAACATTTTCACAGACTGTTTCATGTAGGATTTTCAAAGGCAGCTTCATCGAGCCAATAAATAAAACAAACAAGAGGTCTTTGACGCACGTTTTTGTTATGTCTGGTTTCACATTCCTGTCTAAGGCCCCGTTTACACTAGTGCGTTTTAGTTTTAAAACGGCGTTGTAGAATGAAAACGATCCGCATCCACACTCGCGTTTTACCCAGCGTTTCTGAACTGCTCTCCGTCCACACCAAAACGCTGAAAACGCACATCACGTGACCACACACACACTCTCGGGCAAGCGCTCCAGCATTTCTACCCAGATGAGAGCTCTGCTTGTCGGTCTGCTCATCACGCATCTCCCGCTGGATCTAATCTCACTATATTTGCTAAACGTGATATTTCATTCATGTTGTTGTCTTTATCTAACGACATAGGCCAATTCCCTGACTTTGGTCATTGGAATCTATTAAGTTACTTGTTCACGGGTAACATGTTTTGGTTAAGCGCAAAGATAAGTTAAAGAGCCCATATTATGGGTTTTTGAAAATTCCCCTCCATGTAGTGTGTAACACAGCTCTAAGTGAAGTGAAGTATCCAGCTAAGGCTTAAATCTGTAAGAATACAGTGTTTAAAACTGTTGATTCATCTATAAAAGAGTCGAATCATAGTGCTTCAAACGAGTCGCCTTGATACCGACTCATTAGGTGTTTCGCCATGACGTACGAACGAAACAAAGTTTTTCACGTGCACGCGCAAACCCGGGAGATTTCAAACCTGAGGCCCCGCCCTCTGACGCAGTAACCCAGACACACACACACACACACACACCCACAAACACACGCACACCCACAAACACACGCACACAAACATGCCGGTCGATTGAAGTCACACTGCAGATGGATATATTGAGTCTCTACCCAAAGATGAAACATCAGCATTATAACCAAGCAGTTGGAAACTTCTGGAAGCTACATGCTACAAAGAATACTTCATCTGAGTTTGTTAAAGGAAGGATCAGTAAAGAGTAACTGATGGACGTCAGGATGGGTTTCTTCCTACATTTCTCAAGTGTAAGTACGTGCGGTTAAAGTTGCCTCGTTGACTCTAGCTTGCAAATGTATTTAGTTGTGATTTGTTACTTGTAACCGCGTGTACTGTATCAGGTTAACTGGATATATTATCTTATCGCGTGCAAAGTCACGTTAAAAACGCGACGCGTGCTGTTTGTTTATGGAGCTCCGTGCTAGAGTTCTGCTCCCGCGATTTATTCGGAAATGTATTCCCGCGCCGCAGAAATCTGGCGCGGGGAGAGAGAGAGAGAGAGAGAGAGAGAGCGAGAGAGAGAGCGAACGAACGAACGAGCTTTGTGTACTTTGTGCTGTGTGTATGTGTTTATACAGACACCTTGGCTGTCTGGACTGTATACTGGGTGATATTTGGTTGTGTTCTCCGCTCTAGCGGGACCGGGCGCGGCGGGCAGAAAACGGAGCGGGTTCTCAGGCTAAAACCTGGCGGGTGCGGGCTGAAGCGGGAGCGTTGTCATCCGGAGGTGTGTGTGTGTTTTTGTGTGTGTGTGGTATGGCGAGTACACTGTCTCCTTCTTTCGGTTATCCGTGGCACTATCCACTCTCCATAGTGTGGCAGCTAAAGTCCACGCCTACACTATCGAGCGTGTATGAACTGTGATTACTTTTTAAATTGCTGATTAGCTATTGGCCATTTCCCTCTCTGACTGAAGGCAGTCGACCAATCGCGACAGACTGTCATCGGTCCAATCAGCGCAGATTAGCTCCGCGCTAAGGAGGGGTTTGGGAACAAATGAATCACTGGACGATTCATACAGGAGTCGCTGGGATAATTAGGTAAAAATAAATGCAGATTATAAGACCATGAAAGTGTTTTTTGACCTTGCATGCATATTAGACTGTTGTTGGAGACCCTTACAACCAAGATATGACCTTATTTCATGTATAATATGGGCTCTTTAATGATTAATCCAGGTACATTGACTGATCGCTTGCATTTATTTCCTACAATGTATAAACTTATTGTATGTTATACTTTTATAATTATCGATTATTAAAAATGATATTCAGCAAAAGAGAGGGTGCGTTTCGTATTTTCACTGAAATTGAAAAGAGGCCGTTTGGTATAGGCTCCGTTTTGTTATAAATATCCACACAGTGAAGATGACGCCCATATGCAGCACGACGCCTCAACATGTCTGCTGTCTGTTAAGTTTTCTAATATTAAAAAGAAAATAGGCAGTTCCTTAAATCATGTTTACATTTTATTGTTGAGAAAGTGAAACAACGTAGCCAGGGTGATGTGAATGAAGTTATAAAGTACACTGTTCCCTTTGAAGATTTACGCGTGTCCTCTGTATGTTTTCCATATCAAACTGAGAAGGGGGAGACTGCAGCCTTGATCAAACTTGCAAAGTCTTAACTTACAAGAAGAGGATGCGAGACTGAACTGTGTGTTAGGCTACTTAATATTAAGGAAAAAGCCCCAATCAGAGAGACGAATGTCTGCAGCCCCGCCTCCGTTTTCAGATGTCTCCGTCTTTCCCCATCCACACTGAGACGGAGCAGCAGCGTTTTAGAATGAAAACAGCCTCTCCAGCGTTTTCAAAAAGCTCCGTTTTCGGCGCTCGAGAACTCCGGCGTAGTGTGGACGGATGGCGTAACCGTAGCAAAACTTATGCGTTTTCAAACTAAAACGCACTAGTGTAAACGGGGCCTAAGAGAGTAACGCCTGTTTCACACCGCAAGTGTCAGCGACGCGTGAGCAGCGCGTGTGTTTTTGGCGTCCATGTTAACAGATTAGAGCTTTCATACCACACGCAGCAGCAGCGCGTCAGAGCGAGGCGTGAGCGTCGCTGCAGCAGCAGTGCAGCGATAGTTTCGGTGCTGGGTCTATTTTTGATGCGCTGCTCACGCTCAATTAAAGTAACAGTGCATTGATAATGACCAAAACACAATGAATGACAGTAAAAAGTAGCAATTTTACCTAATAAATGCGTTAATAATGTCAAATGGTTTATATATAGTCATTCAAATTAACTTAAAACGATTAAAAACGGCAACAAACATTTATTTAGGCCCGAACTACAAAACCAAATGTAAAACAATTTTAGTTTCAGTTTTGCTTAAGTTGCACACTAGTGTTGTAGGAGAGGGGAAATAGAATATTTACAGGATTTGTAGTCCATAGCGAAGTGTATTGTGGGTAGTGTAGTTCGACACGCATGCTGGATTATGTGAGCTAGCTGTGTTCTGTGCAGCTGAGCAGAGCAAGAAAGTTTTATTCGGCTTTGTTTTATGTTCACTCGAGTTATTCCTACCGGGAGCTGTTTGCTCTGTGAATCTGACAACACGAAATAAGTAAAAGAATGGCATGCATTGGTTACTTTTGTCCGTCTCATCATCTGCACGAGCATGAATTAACGAGCTGTTATTCTGCCGCTGGACATCACTGAAGCGGAGAAAGTAACACTAGTTTGATCATGTATAAATATCATTATAACTATATTGTATAAATATGATTATAACTAGGTCTACAGCAACCTGATAATCAAAAAAACAAATGACATGATATCACAGGCGATTGTCTTCTGACTGTAGACAATTCTCATATAAGTTAGCTTGAGAAGCATACAGTACTATTTGATTAAAAAAATTGTAAAATAAACATTTGCAGGTTAAAAAAACAGCATAGGTGCAGATGAAAACAGCTTCGGTGCAGATGAAAAGTTTAAAAAGTGTATTTGTATATAGAGAGACATGGGTAACTAGATAGAATAGACAGAGATAGGTTGATCTCTGCAGCAGCTGTCGAAGAGCTGCGCGCTGCAGACGCAGCTGGTGTGAAAGGCAAACACCTGCGTGCTGCTACTGCTCGACATACGCGCTGCGCACGCTCTGCTCACGCGCCGCTGACGCTTGCGGTGTGAAACAGGCGTAATGAGTTATCTTAAACTTTACTGGAAAACACACATTTGCAGTTTGCTCACCTTGCATTCAGTCATTTATTAATTCAGAACAAAGAATGAGATATTATTAGTAAAAAATAAATAAATAAATAAAAGTCAAATAGTTTAAAGATACTATTTCGCACAAAACAAAAAAGGAACAAGTGGTGTTTTAAAGTATTAGTAAATATTATACAGGGTGGGCCGTTTATATGTATACACCGTAATAAAATGGGAATGGTTGGTGATATTAATGTCCTGTTTGTGGCACATTAGTGAGGGGGCAAACAAGATGGGTGGTGACAATAGTGGCCATTTTGAAGTCGGTCATCCTGGATCCAACTTTTGTTTTTTCAATAGGAAGCGGGCCATTTGACATCAAACTTATTGGGAATTTCACAAGAAAAACAATGGTGTAAATTTGATGGGGTAACTTTATTCTTTCATGAGTTATTTACAAGTTTCTGACCACTTATAAAATGTGTTCAATGTGCTGCCCATTATGTTGGATTGTCAATGCAAGCCTCTTCTCCCACTCTTCACATTCTGATAGCAACATTGCAGGAGAAATGCCAGCACATGCTTTCAGTAGGCTTTTCAGGTGCTGCTTATCTTGTATCTTCACACCATAGACATTTCCCTTTAGATTACCCCAAAGATAAAAGTCTAAGAGGGTCAGATCAGGAGACCTTAGGGGCCATTCAACTGGCCCACAATGACCAATCCACTTTTCAGGAAACTGTTCATCTAGGAATGCTCGGACCAGACACACATAATGTGGTGGTGCACCATCTTGCTGAAAAAACTCAGGGAACGTGCCTGCTTCAGTGCATAAAGAGGGAAACGCATCGTCATGTAGCAATTTCAAATATCCAGTGGTCTTGAATTGCCCCAATATCTTTTGTTGTCTATGGTGTGAAGATACCCTCTTCCTATTGAAAAAACAAAAGTTGGATCCAAGTAGGCCGACACCATGATCACATCCCATCTTGAAAAGTTTCCCTCTTACATATACTAATGTGCCACAAATCACCAACCTAATATCACCAACCTATCCCATATTATTAAAGTGTATCCATATAAATGGCCCACCCTGTATAATATTATAACAT